AATTGGAAAAATGACAAATTATCTCCAGAACACTCTCCCCATGTAATTTACTGTTCCGACCAGTTCGAAAACCAGATGGGAGATGGCAACTGACAATTAATTATCAGCATTTAAATGCCAACACAGCCCCATTAAGAGCTGCAGGACCCAATTATTTCAATGTAGTAGAAATAGATATCCCTGGCAATGACAATGGCATCACACCCCCAACATAGACTTATCTTAAAAGTCTTTTCCAACCTTAGCAATTCTGTAGTCTCATTTTTCCTCTTAATTGGAATAAATATAATTCCTTCAGTTCAAATACAAAATCCTTGGGGCCATGCCCTATTAAATTATACTGTGTCAGGATTTTACCAAAAGGTAAGACAAACCTAAACCTTGCTAATTTTGTTATACATGGAAATGAGGCATATCTAGTGGGTGGTGGAGCTGGGAAACATTATACAGTTGTGTGTGTGTTCCCTGTGAAGTGGTTCCATCTCCAGCACTATTTGCATTTAGGTCTGACCTCAGCTTGGCAACAATGGCCTGCTGGGGTTGGGGTGAGGTTGGGTCTCTGCCTCCCCAGCCTGTGCTGTGGAGACAAACACCATTAAAAGCATCTTGGTGTGACTTGTATCTGAGTCCAGATCCAGGGTCTTGGGGAAAGAGAAAATAGTTCAGTTAAACTGTCAGGTTCCAGGACTGCCTGGACTTGGGTGAGAGCTGTTGAGGGATCACACCAGGGTCTGTCTATCTCCCCTGAGTTGAGACTAATTGTGGCATGGGAATGAGTATTAAAAAGATGTATCTGACTGGCTTGTCCAGCTCTTATTCTTCCCTCAGCCTCCTCTGAGGCACAGTTAAGAAAGGAGTCCTTGTTGTGAGAACTGACAGCTCTTGTGGCTTTATCTCCTAATCAAAATAGCCTGAGGAGGGAAAATCCATTCCCAACACCTGGACATCAGCCAAACCCTCAGCATGTGGAAAAGACTCATCAGCCTGAGACTGGGCAGGATTTTCTGTTCAACCATATTCCCACCCATGCCCCGAGCTGTTCCATTGCTTTTCATGTCTCTCCTCTATCTCAGGGGAATCACCATTGCTTTGCTGCACCCAATCTCCTGGCAGAAAATTCCATTTCTAGGAATGAGCTTTTCCCTCTGTGCACAGTGTCATGTGAAGTCCATTTGGTGGAGCCAAGAGTTGACCTTGGAGAGCAGCTGTGTTGGAAGTCTGTGAATTCAACTGTGGTAGCTGCAGTGAAGTTTTAGCTGAGTTTTCCTTTCTGAAGGAGTAGAAGTGCCCGTGTTGGCAGTGAAGCCTTCTGGAGTGACAGGCAGAGCTTAATATTTGTAGGAAATTGGGGTGTGTCAGAAAGACAGACAGAATAGGGAGAATCAGAAAGAGGCAAAGAGAATGAAGCACCTGAAGAAACGAAATGTCTTGTTCCTGAGAGGGGTGGGAAGGTAGATGATCACTGAGAAATGCAGACAGAGGGTCTGCACTAACCTGCTAGTTAACATGCTCCCATCTTCTGCACTTCATTGTCTACATTTCAGCTGGAAATTTGTGTCTACAGAAAGAAAGCTCAGGGGGTGATTCTTCCACATGGTCATCTGCAGGATCTCCCTTAGGGTGTCCTCCTTGAAAGGTTCAGTGGGCTGTTGGCTGAGGAACCAAAATGATTCACTGTCAGAGAAGGAAGATCCAGAGAGGGAATGTTTCAGGCAAGATAAGAACAAATATTTTCCTCACTTCCTTCACCTTCCCCACTGGGTTGTTTCCAGAAGCTCTGCTCTTGAGGCTGCCAGGTGGTTTTCTGACTCTCACACACAAACAGGGGTGTTGTTCTCAGGATGCACTAGTGCGGATCCCACTGTGAAAAAAAGCCTGGCACCTCCTGGCAGGGTGTCCCCAGAGGAAAGCTGTGCTGGGCCCCAGCTCCCTATTTTCCTGTTGTTCAGAGCTTCCAGAGGCTGGTTTGTAGAGCCTGTTCCTTGTGTGCTGGGACAAGGACACCTCCAGAGGCCTGAGGGACCCAAAGAACCAGTATGAGAACTTTAAACCCGACTTCCAATTCCCCATCATCTTAGATAGCTCCTGGGTCCCTGAGTACACACTCTGGGGCTGTGCCTTCCTTCCACCCAGCCTAGAACTTCCACCAGCAAAGCTAAGCATGGGGAGAAGTTTCCTACCTTGGTGGCACAGATCTGCCCTCTGTTATGTTGCTGCAGATCCTGTCAGTATGTGAGCTTTGTTGGAGAATAGATTCCTCCTGAAAAAAGGCTCTGGTGTTCCAGGCAGAATGAGGAGATGGAGATGAGCTGGCACTGGTGAGTCACCCAGTGCACTGATTCCATTTTAAATCAGTAATAATACACATTAATCTTTCCCAAGTCGAGTCTGTTTTGCCTGTGTGAGTCACTGGTCTTTGATCTCTCTGTCTTTATCTTGACCTATGAGTTGAAATTGAGAAAGTCTGTGTGGGCACCTGGCAGCCAGCCAAGGTGAAACCCACCAAAGGACATAGAATCATACAGTCACACAATATGCTGGGTTGGAAGGGACCCATAAGGATCATCCAGTCCAACTCCTGGCCCTGCACAGGATCCCTCAACAATCCCACCATGTTCCTGAGAGTGTTGTTCAAACTCTTCTTGAGCTCAGACAGGCTTGTTGCTGTGACCACTGCCCTGGGGAGCCTGTTCCAGTGCCCAGCCACCCTCTGGGTGAAAAACATTTTCCTGATATCCAATTTAAACCTCTCCTGACTCAGCTCCATCCATTTCCTTGACTCCTGTCACTGGCCACAAGAGTAAAGAGATTGGTACCTGCCCCTCCATTGCCCCTCGTGATGACATTGAAGATTCCAAAGAGGTCTCCCCTCAGTCTCCTCTTCTCCAGCTGAACGCACCAAGTGCCCTCAGTGTCCTCACACACCTTCCCCTCAAGGCCCTCCCCATCTTTGTTGCCCTCCTTTGGACACTCTCTAACGGCTCAATCCCTTCCTTCCATTGTGTCCCCCCAGAGTGCCCCAATATTGAGGTGAGGCCGCCCCAGGGCAGAGCAGAGCGGGACAATCCCCTCTCTGGCCCAGCCGACCCTGCTGGGCCTGATGCCCCCAGGACAAGGTTGGCCCTCCTGGCTGCCAGGGCACTGCTGACTCATGGCCAACTGGCCACCCACCAGGACCCCCAGGGCCCTTTCCTGGCACTGCTCTCCAGCATCTAATTCCCAGTCTGTTGGTGATTGCCCAGCTCTCTCATTTGTCAGGTCTCTCTGCGGGGCTTCCGAGCCTTCGAGGGAGTTGACAGCTCCTCCCAACTTACTGTCATTGGCAAACTCAGTGTCCCTTCAAGTCTTGTGTCAATGAATCCAAGAATCCTAGAAAATCCTAGAAAAAAATCTGTAATCCCAGAACGGCTTGAATTGGAGGGACCTTAGTGATCATCTCATTCCACCCCCTGCCGTGGGCAGGGACACCTTCCACTATTCCAGGTTGCTCCAAGCCCTGTCCAACCTGGCCTTGAGCTTTTCCAGGGATGGGGCAGCCACAGATTCTCTGGGCAATCTGTGCCAGTCCCTGCCTTTGCCTTCTGCAAATCAGGTGGTGTAGCTGGAGCACTTCTCAGTGAAGATCAGGCAAAAAAGGAGTCATTGAATACCTCAGCTTTCTCCATGTCCTGGGTAAATAGGTCTTCTGTTTCCTTCTGGAGAGGGCCCACATTTTCCCTAGTTTTCCTTTCATCACCAGCATACCCCTAGAAGCTTTCCCTATTGCACTTGATGTCCCTGACTAGTTTTAATTCCATCAGGTTTAGGTTTCCTCATCCCTGGCTGCTCGGGCAATTTCTCTGTCATGACAATGGCCAAGGGGGATGGAGAGAGTTACTGCTCTTGCAAAGACCTGTTCCAGAACAGAGCTGGTATCTGGCAGTGGTGCAAATTTAGAGGACCAAACACCTGCCTCAAGTTTGAAGGAGACAAAGTACAACAGCACAGCCACGGGGTCTTTGGGCACTCTGGGAGCTGCAGTGCCCCGTGGGGGTGTTGGATTCACCAGGAGTGGGGACTCCATTTTGTGGCTGATACCAATTCCAACTTGGGAATTACCTCAGCCCTGGGTATGTGGACAGCACCAGGGCCCTGCCAGCTGCTATGAGATACATTGACCTGTGCCCACATGTGCTGGCCATGGACCCCAGACCAAGCAACAGAAGAGAGGGGAAGCAAGAGGTGAGACTGTGGACTTTTCCCACATATTATAGTCTCCCCACTCCTGCCACTCTTTGGAGTCATCATCTATTTGAACCTTCTACCCTAGAAAAAGCTCATGAGAGATCTGTTGCCCAGGAGCCAAAGGGGCTGCTGACCTCATCTGTTGACCTTCTGCAACCATGGGCTCCTCACTCAGCAATGGTTGGGTGGCTCCCCATCCACAGAATGTGTTCCAGGGTGCAGTGCTCCAGGCTCACCTGGGAAGAGATGTAGCAAGGCTGCAAGGACTGGTGGCCATCGATTGTGGAGTAGCCAGGAATATCTCCTTCACCCCCAAGGGACAGGGAGAAAAAATGACCCAGTGAAGTGAGTCCCTACCGCCTCCTTCCTCTGGGAATGACAAAGGGCTCCCTTTACCCCAAGCTAATCGTCTCCAAAAAGAAACCTTTCTCTCCCAGAGCAGACTGGAGAGTTGCCACAGAACAAAGGAGGACTCGGAGGCCCAGGCTTAGATGCATAACAACTTTAATGAGACCAAAGAAGAGAAGCTCACACAGAGCACCAGAAGCAGCCGCTAAGATGCAGGGTGTCCCTCTGCCTGCCCGGCAGAGGGAGGGAGGGTTACAGGTCCCCCTGGGCTGGCCTGAGGAGACAGAGAAAGCAAAGGAAAGAGAGAGAGGAGGCTGGATGCTTCCTGCCACCCTTTACAGAAGAAGACAGAGATGAAGAGATGTTCTAAATACAAAGGTCTAAAGCTCTATCTCTTGCCCAGCACCATGTTCTGAGGTCTTGGAGGATCTTGCCCCAGGACGTTGCCAGCAGCTTTAGCAGGGGGGACATCTGCCACGGTAGCAGTTGGTGATGCAGGAGAGGTCAAAGCCCCCGGAGTTGATGGGCACTCCGTCACAGCTGAGGATGCTGCCAACGGCAGCGGAGGTGGAGGATCCCACCACGGTGTTCTGTGGGAAGGAGCTGAGGATGGGCCCGGGCAGGGTCACCACCACGGGGGAGGGCTGGATGGCAACAGTGGAGCTCTGGCACTGCCTGACACAGCACTCATTGCAGCTGTTGGCCAGCGGGGTCGGGCCGCAGGGCTGGCAGCAAGGGTTGCAGGGCTGGCAGCACGACATGTCTCTGGCTCACAGGGGCACCTGGCACACAGGGCAGGGAGAAGCACAAAGCAGACACACATGAGAAGCAGCCCTGCACCCAACCCCCCTGCAGACAAGGCACCTCCTGCACCACATGACACTGCCCAGCCCAAAGCCCAGCAGCCTCCTCAGCCAAGTCCCAGCCTCTCTCTGCACAACACCTTCTCTCCCCTTCCCTCTCCCAGCAGAAGCAGCTCCCAGCCCTGGGCTAGCACAGCCCATATCAGCTGAGACCTACAGTGAGGAAAAACGTGGTCTTGAAGCAGGAGGAGAAAGAGAAGGGCTTTCCCACTCACCTGATTCCCGAGCAGAAGGAGGTGAGAGAAGTGGATGCGAGAGCAGAGACTTGGGCTGCCTTTTATAGCAGTCCTGCACTGCCTCAGGCCCACAGGCACCTTTGTGCAAGTCATAATTTTCTGACCAGCTCATGTCAGTTGTGAACCATTCCAGCTAATGGTAGGGGCTGTGTCCTGGTTTCCTGCACTGCTGCCTTTTCATTTCCTGGCATGCCATCCTATATGAAAGCTTCTGGAAGTGCTGGGATGAGCGTCTCAAGGATTTCCGGGGCAGAAAGAATGTTCATGGCTGTCAGAAGTCTCAGATCAAGGGCTGTTGGTATCCCGTGAATGCAGATGATATTCAGCTGGGTCATTCCTGTGGTCTTGTTTTTGGCAAAGTTGTCAGGAAATGGGCATCACTCTTGTACTTGGTCTGCCATGTGAGGAGACATGACACATCCTTTTCCCTTGCTTCTCCCATCTCTCTGTGATAGTCGCTCATTGTTTCACTCAGGTGAGAATCTGCTGGGAGGGTTTGACCCTATTGCTACACCAACAGTGCTCTCAGAGAAACTGTGCTGGCTCATTTATCTCATTGTCTTTCTGTGCACTCTCTGGGATCTTCTGGGAACACCAGAGGCATGTCTAGGGCCCGATTGTTCTCCATGGTGCCTGAGTCCTTTTCTGCCACACTTGTCCCCAGGATGTCCTCAGCACGGTCCCCAGCCCTGCATATCTTCCCTGTCTGCTTGACTTTTTGATGACTCTGTGTGAGCATGTAGATCTTTGCATTATTCCATGCAGGTGTGTATGAAGAGTGGGACCTTTGCCAGGTGTCTTCATGATCTCCACAGAGAAGCATGTTTCCCTTGACATAAGGAAAGGAAGTTGGTATGAAATCTACAGCTGAGTGGTCATGGCTTCAACCTGGCAGAGAGGTACCTAAAAAACTAGGACAGAAACACAGCCTCTGTCTCCTGTGCCTCCATTTCTTGCTTTATATTCAGGGAGAAAGGCCAAGAAATTGTGCCCACCTCTGCAGGTTGTTATCATTGAGTGGATCCCTTATGCTGGAGTGTTGCTGGTGACTGGGATGGGACACAGGCTCCTCATTCCCAGGCCAACACCAGTTGCACTTCTACAGCTCATCAGCCTGGTGCTCAGTGAGGCAGGGCCAAGACCTCCCAGCAAAGGGGTACTGGACAGAAGGGACTGATGTTCAGGTGCTGTTCTCCTGTGAGATGTAGGATGGATGGGCACACCCAGCATAGAGGTAGCACAGCAGAGTGCTGTCCCCTTCCCTTTGGTGGTCTTGCTGAGCTCTTTGCCAGGTGGTGCTGCTGGGAAGCTTCAGCCAGAGCCAAGTTCCCCTCAGAGCAGCTTTCAAGCTTATGTTCTAGTACTCAGTAATATCTGCAGCTGTGACAGATCTGTGCCTGTATCTGGCTAATCTTGGTTTGGACTCTGACATATGTGTGACTTCCCAGCTTGACCTGGGAGCTTCCTCATCTCTGTGAACACACCTGGTGATCGTTGGATATTTTTGAACCCTGAATACTGTCATGAAACCCCTCCTGACCCTGACTCTCTGACTCACTCACTTGTCTTTCCAACTTGACCCCAGACGTGTGTAAGACAAAAGCCCAAGCCAAAACAAGAGCAGGACAACATAAAATCTGTGCACACTTGTAGACCTGTGATCTTACTGAGGTTTTGGAAAAGCTGGGGCAGCTTCCCTGTTTGCAGTGTGCAGTGACTGTGCAGAACAGAGAGCAAAACTGCAACCCTGAACTCCATAAGGGCAGATTTTTGTTCCCTCAGGGACCTTTCAGGCAAAATCCTTTGGGAAAGTGGCCCAGGGGTTCAAAAAGACAGAATGTAAAATACAGCAGTTAAGATTTCCTGATAAAACATTATGGAAATGGCCATAACTAGCTCCATCTGTTCATCTTGCCAAAGACATGAAGTGGAACTGCCGAGGACACTAGATGGCTGTGTTTTTGGAGTATTTCTCTCCAAATCTTACAGCGTGGGTAATAATATCTTTTTTTTTTTTTTTTTGAGATTATTCAAAGTTAAATCTATCCCTTATTGCAGCCTGAAATGTTAATTTTTCTGTTGAATTTTAAATTTATTAAATTAAATTTGCTTTATACTCTATTAAACCTGGTTCTTTTCAGCTGAATTTTGTGTTCACCTAAATTTGCTTTATACTCCCTTATAGCCATTGTTATGTGACAAGGTTTTTGTAACAGAGAGGAGGTTGTGGGAAGATCCCAGGGACTGTCCCCATGCTTTACAGAGCCAGTTCCAGCCAGGTAAAGAATGGTGGCCAAGCCTGAGCCTGTCAGTGACACCGGTCAAGCCTTCATGAAAATATATTAAAGAAAAGGCAAAACACTGGACAGGAAATGTGGAATGAAGAAAACCAAAACAAGTCTGTTGCATTAAAAATTCCTGCAAACACAAGGATCAGAGAAGAAGGTGGAGGAGGTAATTCCAGTGATGGTACAGAGATTCCCCTGCAGCCCATGGGACAGATGATGGAGAGCACATCTGCACGCTGCAGCCCCTGAAGGGACCCCACGCCAGAGCAGATGGATATTGGCTGCAGGAGCTGTGGCCTTATCCTGAAGGGTTGCAGCCTCTGGATGGGACTCTCACTGGAGCAGACCTTGGAAAAGCGCAGGCTGTGGGATGAACTCACATTGGAGCAGGGGAAAAATGTGAGGAGGAAGGAGCCTGCAGAAAGGAACTGTTGTGTTCTTCCTTTTTGGTTGAGGTAATTTTATTCTTGACATTTTCCTCTCCTCTTCCCCATGCATTGGCCAGACACTCCCCCTTCTACTTCTCCTGATGTTTCTTGTATTTGAGCCCCTTTGGTGACACTCAACCTCCCATTTCTGTTTCTCCAAATTGCTTGCACAGTGAGCCTGATGGGAGTCCACCCCAAAGCCTTCCAGCCTCTCTACCTCCCCTGTTAGGAAGGGGAGGTAATTCTGATAAGGGCGGCGAAAAGATCATGTTTACAGCCCCGGTGATATGAATGGCCAAATGTCCTCCTTGACATTTCCTTCATGGTTGGGGATTTGTTTAAATACCTGAACAATAATTACATGAAACCTTAAAACTCTCTCATGGCCTGGCCGTGTTCCTGAGGGTTCTGGGACCACCCAGGGTTCCTCTGTATCAAACAGTGCCTCAGTATTGTACTCCCATGGCTGAAGAGGGTTGTGCTTTCGGGACAAGCAGACCTTCCACTGCCTGCAATTGCTGAGACTGGGCCATCAGAAATGATGCTGTGCATTCATGCCAGGCCCACTCCTTGAGATGAATGAGAAGGTGAGGAGGAGGCTCTGGGCTCAAGCCAAGGTAATTTCTCCTATCTCCTACTCCCAATCCTTATGGACATCTTCTGTCTAAGGCTTCTCACCCAGCACAACTCAGCCCGGAGAAACAGGAACTGCCTTGAGTGTTTGGGAATCTTCTGACCTCCCAGGGACTCCTGAAGCCCTGGGGTTCTCCCATGAACACAGCACAGGCTTGGATCACCATGAGCAGGGCATATTCCAGGGCCAAGGGGAACATTTCTGGGCAGAGGTGCAGCTCTGATAATCAGTGGCTGTGGAGTAGCCAGAGCTGTTGTCCTCACATCCAAGGGCCAGAGACTGAAAGATGCCAACAGACAGTGTGTCCTCCTGGCCCACACCATTGGAGGGGGGTCCACTTGCTCACTCACTTTTTCCCTCCCACCATATCTCCTTTCTCCTTGGAAAGCTTTAGTGAGTATCTAGAGCAAAGAGGACAACACAGAGCCAGAAGCTGGGAAGCAGCAGAGTTTATTGAGTCTAAAGGGAGAAACCAGATGTGACTGAGAGGAGGCAACAGTGGAAGGGTCACCATAGGCAAACAAGAATCAGAGCTCCACAGAGAGCGAATGGGTCAGGTCTGCTCTCTAAGATGCTTTTGGTGGGCACCAAGGATGAGGGAAGCAGAAAATAACAAAGGAAAAGGTGGGAAAGAAGAAAGCAGTAGAAGGAAATGGTAGGCACAGACCACAGTTTCAGAGCATACAGGCTGATCACATCCAAAGGGTTGACACACATTGGAGGACAGAGACATGCTCAGTCCCTCTGAAAGCAATGGCCACTACCTCTGTTGTTCAGTCCGGAATCATCTTCTGTCCTTCTGTTCTGGTCTGTCATTGGTGTCTTTAGCAGGGGGGACATCTGCCACGGTAGCAGCTGGTGATGCAGGAGAGGTCAAAGCCCCCGGAGTTGATGGGCACTCCATCACAGCTGAGGATGCTGCCAACGGCAGCGGAGGTGGAGGATCCCACCACGGTGTTCTGTGGGAAGGAGCTGAGGATGGGCCCGGGCAGGGTCACCAGCACAGCCGGCGGCTCAATGACGACGGTGGAGCTCTGGCACTGCCTGACACAGCACTCATTGCAGCTGTTGGCCAGCGGGGTCGGGCCGCAGGGCTGGCAGCAAGGGTTGCAGGGCTGGCACTGCTGGCACTTCTCAGGGCACGACATGGCTCGAGCCTGGGGCTGCACCTGGCACACAGGGCAGGGAGGAAGCAGAGCACACGCACACCTCAGCAACAGCCGGCAAAGCACCACCAGGAAGCCAAGGCAGCTGCTGCTGCTTGGGGAGGGAGAGGCTCTGCAGGGGCCAACAAGGGAGCCTTTCCCTGAGCCCAGCAGGGCCTTCAGAGATCAGACAGGCCCAGGCTGCTCCTGCCTCAGCTGTAGGAAAACAGCCCCCTCAGCCCAGCCTCCGCCTCTGTCCCTAACAGACGCTCTCCCCTCTGCCCACACGACCACCATCCCCGAGCACTCCCACAAGACCAAGGAGCAGGGATGGGCTGCAAAGCTCGACCCTGTGCTAGAGAGGGGGGAGGAGAAAGGGGCTTCCCACTCACCGGCTTGCTGAGGAGAAGGAGGTGACAGAAGGGGTTGAGAGAGCCACCAGTTCGGCTGGCTTTTATACTGGCCCCACAGTGCCTCAGGGCCCAAAGGCCGTGCTGCGTAAGTGACAATTTTCCTGCATGATCCCAAGGAATGGAAACATCTCAGGGAATGACATGGCATGAGTTGGTGTTTCTGTCTGTGGTGATTTGGATTTCCAGGGTTACATCATGCCCATTTTCTCATGGACACTTCTGAGTGCAGGTCTGAGAGGTTCCAGGATTTCTGGGGGCAAGGATGTGCCACTGTGGGCAGATGACAGGGACTAAGTGCCAAAGGGATTTGGAGGAGCCAGGTGATGGCCGCCTGGGGCACTCTGATGGATTTTTTATGGTCCTACTGACAGGAAGCTTCTGCACAGCTCCCAGCTCTCCAGGCTTTGGCTCATCACCCAAGGGCTCCCCTGAGCTGTGCCAGAGTTCACCTCTGATCCCAGCCATGGCTTCTCCATGAGACAGGAGCAAAGACCCTGGGAAACAGCTCCGTGCCCCAAGGCTGCCTGCAGGTAGCATGAGGAGTGATGGCCTGGGGTCAGGATTCTCCTTGGTGAGACCTGAGTGCCGTGGCCCTCTCCAGGTTGTCACCAAAATCCAAGAAATGGACTCGCTAACAAATTTGTTGGATTAGAAGTCAAAATTTCTTTATTCAGCCTGCTGGGGCGAAAACTCCTCAAGACATGCACAACCAGGAACCAAGCGCACCACGTTATTTTCATGAAAGTAATATCTATTCATAACATTTCTATTACACATTCATTACAGTTCCTAAATGCATGCATATATGCTAATTATATTTGTGAACTTTTTGGATATGCACAGGGGTCTTTGGAGGGTCTTAGGTGGTCATTTGGGAACATCCTATTCCTCAGATTTCCCTTTTATGTTTCTGGATGTTCTAGTAAGTCCTCTCTCCTTGAGAGTATCTCAAACATATGGTCAGGCCGTAATGACCTTCTCTTATCAATCTTTGCTCTGGCACATAATCCTTGATCTCAAAACTGAGACATTTTTGAGTACATACCAATCACTGATATAGGGAAATAATGAGTGGGTCCAAGGACTTCTGGGGGCAAGGATGTGTCAGCAGTTGCAGAAGACATGGAGTAAGTGCAGAAAGGATCCAGAGGAGTCAGATGATGCCAACCTGGGGCACTCTGGTGGATTTCTGTAATGCTTCCTGACTTCTGTAATTCCTGCTGGCAGGAAGGGTCCCAGCTACTCCCAGCCCTCCGTTCCTTGGCTCTTCACCCAAAGTCCTCCCCTGAATGTGGGTCTTGCCCTGCTGGTCAAAACACTTTGGCTTCCTTCAGTGCCTGGACAGTCCCTGAGGCTCCTCTGGCACTGCTGCCTGAGCATCTGTGCTGCTCAGAGGCCCCCTCCCTGCTCTGGCAGGGAGCTCCCCGGCAGCTCCTCACTCCCATCCCATCCCCTCTGCCCCCTGTGCTGATCCCCAGTAATGGGTGGGGGAGTGTGACCATGCCCTGGAGCGTGTGAGTGTCTGCACATCCCTGTGCTTGTGCTCCCCTAGGAACACACCCCTGGGAGCCTCTGGCCTGCAGTGTCTCTCTGTGCACAGGGGAAAGCACTTGAATGCAACCTGCTGTGTGAGTCCTTGGGCATATTTGCTGTGTCTGTGCATCTGGGTTTGTCCTTGTGCTCCCTGGGCAGGTTGGGAATGTGTCAGTGCCTGCGGGGGTGTCCTCAGCTGTGTCTGAGCTCATGGCTGAGCCCAACCATTCCAAGGCCTGTAGTGACATCCCTCCTCAACAGTGCCGGGCACTGACACAGTCCCAGCTCCCCCTTTTCTGAGGAGATCTGGAGATCACGGCATTCAGGTCTCACCAAGGAGAATCCTGACCCCAGGCCATCACTCCTCATGCTACCTGCAGGCAGCCTTGGGGCACGGAGCTGTTTCTCAGGGTCCTTGCTCCTGTCTCATGGAGAAGCCATGGCTGGGATCAGAGGTGAACTCTGGCTCAGCTCAGGGGAGCCCTTGGGTGATGAGCCAAAGCCTGGAGAGCTGGGAGCTGTGCAGAAGCTTCCTGTCAGTAGGACCATAAAAAATCCATCAGAGTGCCCCAGGCGGCCATCACCTGGCTCCTCCAAATCCCTTTGGCACTTAGTCCCTGTCATCTGCCCACAGTGGCACATCCTTGCCCCCAGAAATCCTGGAACCTCTCAGACCTGCACTCAGAAGTGTCCATGAGAAAATGGGCATGATGTAACCCTGGAAATCCAAATCACCACAGACAGAAACACCAACTCATGCCATGTCATTCCCTGAGATGTTTCCATTCCTTGGGATCATGCAGGAAAATTGTCACTTATGCAGCACGGCCTTTGGGCCCTGAGGCACTGTGGGGCCAGTATAAAAGCCAGCCGAACTGGTGGCTCTCTCAACCCCTTCTGTCACCTCCTTCTCCTCAGCAAGCCGGTGAGTGGGAAGCCCCTTTCTCCTCCCCCCTCTCTAGCACAGGGTCGAGCTTTGCAGCCCATCCCTGCTCCTTGGTCTTGTGGGAGGGCTCGGGGATGGTGGTCGTGTGGGCAGAGGGGAGAGCGTCTGTTAGGGACAGAGGCGGAGGCTGGGCTGAGGGGGCTGTTTTCCTACAGCTGAGGCAGGAGCAGCCTGGGCCTGTCTGATCTCTGAAGGCCGTGCTGGGCTCAGGGAAAGGCTCCCTTGTTGGCCCCTGCAGAGCCTCTCCCTCCCCAAGCAGCAGCAGCTGCCTTGGCTTCCTGGTGGTGCTTTGCCGGCTGTTGCTGAGGTGTGCGTGTGCTCTGCTTCCTCCCTGCCCTGTGTGCCAGGTGCAGCCCCAGGCTCGAGCCATGTCGTGCCCTGAGAAGTGCCAGCAGTGCCAGCCCTGCAACCCTTGCTGCCAGCCCTGCGGCCCGACCCCGCTGGCCAACAGCTGCAATGAGTGCTGTGTCAGGCAGTGCCAGAGCTCCACCGTCGTCATTGAGCCGCCGGCTGTGGTGGTGACCCTGCCCGGGCCCATCCTCAGCTCCTTCCCACAGAACACCGTGGTGGGATCCTCCACCTCCGCTGCCGTTGGCAGCATCCTCAGCTGTGATGGAGTGCCCATCAACTCCGGGGGCTTTGACCTCTCCTGCATCACCAGCTGCTACCGTGGCAGATGTCCCCCCTGCTAAAGCCCCTGCAAACCTCCTTGGCCAACAACCTGCAAGACCTCTCATCATGCTGCTGCACTGAAAACACAACACTGGGACATTGCATTTAGACTTTATGGCTCTTGTTTCCTTCTTCTCCTCTCTTCTCTCTCTTCCCTTCCTTTTCTGTCACCACCACCCAATGCCACCCTCCTGGGGACCTTTTGGCCTCCCTGCCTCTGCAGCCCAGGCAGAGGGACACCCCCCCTGCATCTTAGTGGCTACTGCTGGTGCCCTCTGTGAGCCACCTCCTTTGCTTCTTTAGACTCAATAAAGTTGTTTTGCATCCAAGCCTAATCCTATGAGTCCTTCTTCCTTCTGTGGCATTGCTTCCAGGGGGCACAGCGAAACATGTGGGCAGAGCAGAGGGTTGGACTCCCTTCAGTGGATTTAATTTGTGCTCTTTCCCTTTGAGCTGACAAACCCATCCGTGGCTACTCCACAGCAAGGATTATGAGGGAGAGTATGGGCCCAAAAAGTGTAAGGAGAGGGGATGTTAAACAGCACTACCAGGGCACAGCCCACAACCTCATGTCTTGATACACTGTAGTGGAATAGGTTAACATTGTATAGGAAGGTGTCACACGGAAACATGGAAATTGTAGTCTTTGTATCAAGCCCCCAGAGAAGGACTCTACGGAGAATGCCACTGTAAGGACTCGCTTAGAACTGTGGGAAATATGTGATGTCATGTGGGTATATAAAGCCATGTCAGTGTGCGAATAAAGGGATTTACCAGTTGCACACCACCTGGTTGATCTGTGATTTCAGTGATATACTACACCTCCCTTACACTGACTGTTCTGCCCAGCTTGTGTCCAGACAGGCAGGGCTGGGGTGTTTCATGTGTCAGGATTGGGATCAGCCACACAAATGAGCTGAGTCAGATCAGCTACTCCATGCAGCCCTTTGCAGGCGGATGTACCATGAAGAAAGACATGACGCTGTGAAGAGCCTGCACCAGAAAAGATTCCTGGAAGGAATGTCCACTGCAGAAGTGTAAAGTTGACAGTGGAGCAGGTCTTGCTGGCAGGAGCTGTTACACTGTCATGGAGCTACACATTCCCTCTGCAGAAGGATCTGGACAGGCTGGAAACATGGGCCAAGCCAACACTGAGGGCCTACAAAGCTAGTTACTGAGTCCTACACTTTGGCCACAACAACCCCCTGCAGCTCCACAGGCAGAGCAGTTGGAGAGAGGCCCAGTGGGGCTGCTGGTCAACAGTTTTTGAACATGAGCCAGACTGTTCCCAACTGGCCAGGAAGGCCAAGGGCATCCTGGTCTGTATCAGGAATAGTGTCCAGCAGAACCAGGGCAGTGATTGTGCCTGTCTACTGTGCACTGGTGAGGTCACACCTCGAGTGCTGTGTCCAGTTCTGGGCCCCTCAGCTGAGGAAGGACATTGAGGTGCTGGAGTGAGTCCAGAGAAGGGCAGTGGAGCTGGTGAAGTGCCTAGAGGGTATATCCTGTGAGGGGATGCTGAGGGAGCTGGGGAGGTTTAGCCTGCAGAAGAGGAGGCTCAGGGGACACCTTGTCACACCCTACAGCTCCCAGAAATGAGATTGTATCTAAACCCACATTGCTCCCCAGCCTTCCTTCTAGCTGCTTTCAGCTCCACTGCCAACTTCTCTACTTTCTTTCCAACCAGTGGCACAGGAGGAGAGGGAAAGGGGGTTGTGCTCAGCCCATTCTGGAAGTCTCTGCACTCCTTCCTGCCACTCTGCTCCCCTGCTCCACTGTAGTTTCCCTGCTACAGTGTGGGTCATTTCCAAAGAATGTAGTCGTTAAAGGACAAAATGCTCCATTGTTTCTCCCCGACAGGCTCACAGGTCCTGGTAGTACGACCTGCTCCATTGTGGGCTTCTCTCCACTGCAGTGGACATTCCTAACAAGAATTTTTTCAAGAGCAGGTTCTTCCTGGGGTCACAGCCGCCTTCATGATATATCCAACTGCAAAGGGCTCCATAGAATAGCTGATCACAATAAGCTCTTTTATGTGGCTGATCCGAGTCCTCAAAAGTGAAACAGCTCAGCCCTGCCTGTCTGGACACAAGCTGGGCAAACAATGGGACATGTAGGAGGGGATGAGGTTGTGGGCTGTGTCCAGCCATTGCTGTTTCCCATTCCCACACCTGACATTTCTTGGAGCCATCTTCTGCCTGATGGTCTTTGCTGTGGAGTCCCAGAGAATGTGTTTGTGAGCTCCAAGGGAAAGGGCATAAAGAAAAATCAACTGGAAGGAGTCCCACCCTCGACTCTGTCCATCATTTTCTCTCAGCTGAATGAATGTGTCGACACTGAAGGAAGGAGGACTCAGAGGCCCAGGTTTGGATGCAAAACAACTTTATTGAGTCTAAAGAAGCAAAGGAGGTGGCTCACAGAGGGCACCAGCAGCAGCCACTAAGATGCAGGGGGGGTGTCCCTCTGCCTGGGCTGCAGAGGCAGGGAGGCCAAAAGGTCCCCAGGAGGGTGGCATTGGGTGCTGGTGACAGGAAAGGAAGGGAAGAGAGAGAACAGAGAAGAAGGAAACAAGAGCCATAAAGTCTAAATGCAATGTCCCAGCGTTGTGTTTTCAGTGCATGATGAGAGGTCAGCAGCATGATGAGAGGTCTTGCAGGTTGTTGGCCGAGGAGGTTTGCAGAGGCTTTAGCAGGGGGGACATCTGCCACGGTAGCAGCTGGTGATGCAGGAGAGGTCAAAGCCCCCGGAGTTGATGGGCACTCCATCACAGCTGAGGATGCTGCCAACGGCAGCGGAGGTGGAGGATCCCACCACGGTGTTCTGTGGGAAGGAGCTGAGGATGGGCCCGGGCAGGGTCACCACCACAGCAGAGGGTTGGATGGCAACAGTGGAGCTCTGGCACTGCCTGACACAGCACTCATTGCAGCTGTTGGCCAGCGGGGTCGGGCCGCAGGGCTGGCAGCAAGGGTTGCAGGGCTGGCACTGCTGGCACTTCTCAGGGCACGACATGGCTTGAGCCTGGGGCTGCACCTGGCACACAGGGCAGGGAGGAAGCAGAGCACACGCACACCTCAGCAACAGCCGGCAAAGCACCACCAGGAAGCCAAGGCAGCTGCTGCTGCTTGGGGAGGGAGAGGCTCTGCAGGGGCCAACAAGGGAGCCTTTCCCTGAGCCCAGCAGGGCCTTCAGAGATCAGACAGGCCCAGGCTGCTCCTGCCTCAGCTGTAGGAAAACAGCCCCCTCAGCCCAGCCTCCGCCTCTGTCCCTAACAGACGCTCTCCCCTCTGCCCACACGACCACCATCCCCGAGCACTCCCACAAGACCAAGGAGCAGGGATGGGCTGCAAAGCTCGACCCTGTGCTAGAGAGGGGGGAGGAGAAAGGGGCTTCCCACTCACCGGCTTGCTGAGGAGAAGGAGGTGACAGAAGGGGTTGAGAGAGCCACCAGTTCGGCTGGCTTTTATACTGGCCCCACAGTGCCTCAGGGCCCAAAGGCCGTGCTGCGTAAGTGACAATTTTCCTGCATGATCCCAAGGAACGGAAACATCTCAGGGAATGAATGGTATGGCATGAGGTGGTGATTCCCACTACCCTGACATTGCATTTCCTGGCCTACATCATCACCGTTCCCTCATGGGCATTTCTGATTTGCAGGATTTCTGGGGGAGAGAATGTGCCACTGTCGGCAGAAGTCATGGAGTAAGTGCCAAAGGCATCCGGAGATGGCAGGTGATTCCAGCCTGGGGCAGTCTCATGGGTTTTTTTGATTCCAGATGATAGGAAGGGCTAAATGTGCTCCCAGTCCTCCAGTCTTTGGGTCATTACCCAAGGATGCACCAGTGTGGACAGAAGACATGTATTTAGTGAGCAATGGATCCAGTGCAGGCAGGTGGTTCCAGGGGTTTTTGTTTTAGGGGCCACCAAACCTGGGCTGCTGTTGGACTTTGAACCCTGATGTTCACTCCAGCCACTGGGAATCTTTGGGACTGGTGGCTACAGTCTAGTGAGGGGCAGCCCAGTTTCAGAGCTTGATCTTTGCTATGGATGAGTAGGAGATTTGGGGATTGGAGCAGGAGGAACCTGGACATGAGGATCTTGTTTGATCCTTAAAGTCCCTGGCAATGGAAAGAGGGACCAGCACGTTCAAGGAAGCAACTGGGAGACAACATGTTCATTGCTGGCACTGAGTGCAGTGGGATTTGGCATCCATGGCCAAGTGGTCTGACCTTACAGTGAGCACATCTCATTGTTGGTCAGAGCACCTGCCCTCCTGTGGGAACTGGAGAGTTGTGCCTGGTCACTCTTTCATGTGAAGAGTCAATTGCTCTCTGCATGGGATGGGGAAGTAAGGCCATTCCCACCACCTTCCTTTGTTTCTCTGGAGAGGGATCCGAGTGATTTGTCTAAAGACGCGTCTTTTGAACTGTCTGTGATGGTCACCCAGCATTGTCTCAGGAATACATCAAACCCAGAAGGCACAGATTTCCATCCACTTCCATGTCAGGCTACAGAGAGATCCTCAGCTCACTGGGTGTCCCAGCATAGCTCAGTTCCCTTGGGCACAGACAAAGGCAGCTCTCACCCGGCATTCTCTCCTCTTCCCAATCACATGTGATGAAATGTCTGCATTAGAGAGGGAAGTGGATTTATTTAGCCTGGAGAAAAGCAGCCTCAGGGGAGACTAGCACTCTACCAATACAGAGAAGGAGGTCATAACAAGATGAGAGCCATTATCTTCTCCCATGTCATAGGAAATGACCTCAAGCTGAGTCAGGGGAGCTTTAGTTTGGATTTTAGGGAAAAAATTTTGTGCAGAAATATTTATCAAGCTCTGGAACAGGTTCTGCAGAGATGTGGATATTGGATGGGAAACACCATCCCTGGAGGGATTTAAAAGATGTGTAAACGTGGCACATGGGTACATCAGTAACTGGTGGTGTGGACAGTGATAGGTTTGTGGTTGGACTCGTTGATGTTAAAGGTCTTTTCCAACACATGTGAAGCCATGACTCTACAGCTGACAGGAGCCTTGGGCTTTTGAATTGGACAATTAGGAATGAGGCAATGAAGAAGCCAGTGCACTCGGAAATGACCACCCCGGCAATGACTTGTAACGGGAATCGGCCACTTCATGGCAGTGGTCAATGTCAGCAAAGCAGAACTGGTGATCAGGTGTCTCGCAGGTTCTCTTTGCTCTGGTCTACCAGCTATACCTGAATCTAGGTGTGGCCAGACCTACCTCCACGGGAGATGAATTCAGTGAGTTGGCAACAGGGGCTGGTTTGTCCCTCTGACAGCAACAGAAATCACAGACCAGCCCCACCAGAGCTCTGTTCCTGCATTCTTGTCTGGGCAGCTGATTCCTTCTTATCTTGCTTTGGGTCACAGCAAAGGACAACAAGGCACCTGTAACTGATTTCATTCCCCTGCTGGCCCCAGACCTCCCAAGGTGGGCACATGTCCCTATGAGCCAATATCTTCTGCATGTACCTTGTAACCCTGATGGGGAATGGCCTCCTCATTGCTGCATGGAGCAATCAACACCTTCCTGGATGTGTCCTTCCTCATGGATTTTTCTTTATGAAGATCAAGTCTACTACCACTTTTGTGTGTAGGTGATGAGGTACAACCTTATCTCTCTGGAGAGCAGGAGGTTTGGGGCAACCTCAACCAGTTTTCGAGTCTTTACAGTGTTGCTGCAAAGAGGCTCTTTCATCACAAGGAGCCGTATGGAGCAGAGCCACAGGGGTCAATAAATAAAAGTTGCACCAGGAGAGATTTCATGTTGTAGTGGTTTGAACCTTGTTTTCCCCAGAGGCTAAGAGAAGTAGTAGACCCCAAGGGGTGGAAACCCCTGGAAGTTTTGAAATTCTGCCCAATGGACGCTCCTGCAGAAATGTAAACATATCACAACCAGACCGGAAAAGAAGAGTTGTAGTTTGGTTGTTGTAGGAGAGGTGGCCATGTTGTAGAGCCACGAGGAAGGGGCTCTGAGCCCCTTGGGCCCTCTGGGGCCTCCCAGCCCTGGCTGGGGGGCTACAGGGACCTGGAACAGCATAAAGCTGGGCTAGGTGCCTGTAGTATGCCGGGAGATGTTTTCTCCATGGGCGCAGAGCAGCAGCCGACGCTGACCAGAGAAACGGTGGCAGAGAGCCAGAGATAAGGACCTGAACTGGAGGAGCAGAGAAGCAACATGCAGCACCAGAGAAAGGACTCCTGGAAGGAGAGCCGAGGAAAGAAGAGCCAGCAGCTGAGAGCTACAGAGTTCTTGGGGGTAAGACTGATACCAGATCCCCAAAACTCCTTTGAGACCTCCTGGAAGGAGGAAGATGATGGACTCTTACTTGAAAGAGCCTTGAAGTGCGACATGCACTGTAGAAAGGAGCTAGAGAGCTCCGAGAGGAATGCAGGGGGAGTTGACCTTGGCTTCCCCCCCCTCGCACTGCTGCCACGGTGGCAGCCTGAGAGACAGGGCACAGAGGCCCTGCAAGAGATACCAGACCGTCACGAAGACCCCCCTGTGTCTTCGTGATATGACGTGGTGAAACGACCTTGTCTGGGGTTACGAAGCCCACGGAAGACCCCTCGGTTGTGAGGCGATGGGGCCGAGAGAGAGGCTTGGATACCTCCCTCGTGGAGTGCTGGCAGAAATCCAACTATCAGCTGCTGCATGCATGCATGAGGAGAAACCTGCTGCCTCAGAAGATCCTGCTGCTTAAGGACTGGAAGGG